TCCTGTTTTTGATGTTAAAAAAAATTCATGCAGAAACTATTGCCCCACCAAAAAAATCATGCACAACCTAAAGGTGAGAAAAAAAAACTCATGCAGCAGAAAATTGCCCACCTCCCCTCCTCCCCCTCAGAAAAATAATGGCGCGTCCCTAAAAGCAATCAACCAAGGGCAAACAAGGTTGATTAGAAATGTAAAAGTCTAACAAGATACTAAGACAAAGAAGAAAGTATAAAGCCTCAGCCAAGAGGAGTGGTCAGTAAACGCAAATTGTGACTGTTTTCGGCGGCTCGCGGCTTTGTTTTCACAGGCCGAAACCTTGTCTGACAAGCTGGCACAGCTTCTTTGATTCGTAGTTTTAGTTTCTGCTAGCGCGCACATTAGTCATTCATGAGTATCATGCGTGTTTATCAGACTGATTGAATATTCTTCCTGGTTCACTTCATCTTTCTGATTCAAAGCGCAACGTGTGCGTACAGTATGCGTGGCTGGCGCTTTCGTTTGCACGCGGTGGCAAAATACGCGGGCTGCTAGGCCGCAAAATGAGAGGAGCAAAGCCAAGAGTAATTGTGCGAAATAATCTCTGAAAGGTTCATAACGTGTATTAATTATGCATATACGAACTCTCCTCGTCGACTTGAATTTATAAGTCCGTAAATTTGCTACAATAGTCTCTCAATCTGTATATACTACATATTAACGGCCTATATTTGTCCTTTCAGAGAATTTCATTACCTATTTTTTCCCGGCTGCCACCTGGTCTCCTTCGATCGCAGCCGATACTTTCTGGTCATTGCACTACGTTCAGTGGCGAGAGATGTTGCGGGATGTTCCTAATTCCGTGACGAAATCTAATTTTAACTTATCAGGCGATCGTGCGAGCCCAGGCCTGCATGTAATTGACTTCATTTTAAATGAGTCATGTTATACTCTAAATCTAACTCTATGTACTACTTCCACAGACTCGCTCATAGCGCACTATAGTTGTTATGAAGCTAGCGGCTGTACTGTGAACGAAAAGCAAATAAGTTTTCGCGATTCCTCGTACCTTAATTTAGCGTTCCAACGAGGCGAACCCCCGGAGTCTTGTAGACCTTTCAAAATTGCGATTTGCTCCTCCTCTTGGCTCTGGTTTTAAGTAACGCGTGCTGATACCCTTGTTTTGTTATTTTTGACAAATTTGCGGATACAAGGACGCTGTTTCCGCCTCTAAGCTAATTGCTTAGTAACTGCAGGATATCGTTTCGTCGAAAATGACCTTTTGGCTCGAGTCTCTCTCGGAAAAACTTGGGCCCGGAAACAAAACAATTGCTTATCTAACAGGGGGAGGAATGGCTCTCCGTAACTGTGAGCGACGGTTTTTCATTTTCATGAGTTTTATTTCCTGAAGAAAGGAAGAAAAACTATAGAATGTAGTACAATAAAACCGTCATTAGAAACCGGAAGTTGAAAAGTGAAGATTTTAAGAGGAAGCGTAACCGTGGCCTTTAAATAAGACTGGTTCGAGGTAGGGACAAGTGGCTTTTGTTACTAATTAGGACATTTATTTTTTGTCTTGTTTGGAGCCGCATTATGCTATTTAGCTGAGTTCACGAGAGGAATATCGTTGCGAGGGCCCTTCCTCTTGTCCACTTGGTTGTGCAGTAATATGTTTCTCGCCTTCCGATCCAATCCACTGGACTCGAGTTTGAAACCAGAGTTACAAATCAATCGACATTTAAATTGCCTTTAACTAAAGATATTCTACAGCTGAACACATTTGTCTTCAAACCACACTCCGCTCAAGGCTGTAAGCACTGGCGGTACTGCTGTCGCAACCTGAATTCGAAGCGACAACTGGGTTTCCTCTTCGGGCGACAAGGAAAAGACACTAACTTCAATTTGACAGTAAAAACAGTCACAATAAATTTCCTATTTCTCTTTGTTTTGTTGTGTTTTATTGAAGTTTACAAAGCAAGTGGCTCAGTAGGTAATTTGCATGATGACGTCATTTGACTACAACAACCAGAATCCTTTACTTTTTTCCAAGGTGACTCTGAAGAAATTAAAGTCACTCTGAGTGTTTTGTAATAAAGAGTTGAGTCGGCATTAAAACAACCCCTTCACTGGCCACCAGTTACGTTTATCTCAACTTCTCTTAGAAATTGTAAAAAAGAAGGTAGTTTGTCGACTATCTGTTCTGGTTCCCAGTCATTTCCTTCAGCAAGCGCTTGGTCCCATTCCTCACAGTGAAGATGTATGTCAGTCTACGCGGCAAAAGAAAGCATAATAAATTAAAATTAAATTATTTTCTTACTTTGAGTGAGTGAGGGAGAGTGCACGAGTAATCGAGATAGAATTTTTAGAGCAGTGCAGCTGCAATGCAGTATGGGAAGTACTTGCAACGTTTCCTCAGCGTTTCCTTACACTGCGCATATTACATTACATTTACAGTCCTTTATACATTACTTTATACATTACAACGCTTGCTATTAACAACACAGTACTTAAATCTACTTAAAATAAGCTACATTACTAGTTTGTATCTATCAATGCGTACAAAATTTTATTTTACATTAATTACCTACTTACATTACTTACTGCAATGAGCTATATCACTTACTTACAAATATCACTTACGAATAAACCAATCAAAATCATAGTTGCTGTGGTTAGGAGCTGAGAATTACGGTATCGAAAAGATACACTTATAAAATTTAATGTTAAGTGAAAAACGTATGACGAACAACTTGCAGCAGAAAAAGAACTTTTTTGATCAGTCCTTTGCGTATTGAAATGCTTCATATTAACCGGCGAGTTTTAAGCCAGGAAGCCGTTTTATGTATCTAAACTTTCTGAGTACAGTGCACGTTCTGCCCTACATCCAGTGTCCTCTGGTATTCAGCGGTTCGTAACATTATCCTCAAGGGAACAGAGCGCTAGCGCTTGGAATAAAAGGGGGGTGGTGACGCAGGTCTCTCCTCGTTTAAGTGGCAGCCGCTAGCGATGAAAATAAACCTGCGTAGAAAACGAGTTCTAATGCCAAAAAAGGTCCCTGCAGTCACGACGATACGCTCGTTCTCATCTCCTTGCCCGAGAAAATGGAATTGTTTCAAGAAAGTAATAATTGTGGGAAATAATTTTTGTTTGGATGCAAAGGAGGAGGAGATGTTCCAAGAAGGGACGAGGTTGCCACGAGGCATCCTGATCACAAAATTTATGGGAAATCAGACAATGAAAATAACGAGAGAATAACAGGATTACGAGAAAACGCCAACCGTTCACAGCAGGAAAAAAAGCTCTTCACCCTAAAAGTCACGCAAGAACTCATGACCTAGTTACTCCAAGGGAAGGGAAAGTTATAAACCTAATTCTAGACCAAACAGTCCTTTGGAGCGATACCCATATAGGAGAGTACCCCACCCCTCCAGGGCAATGAAAAAGACTGAAAAAAAGATATCTAATTACGTGGATAACCCAAAGTTGTCAAGTTTGGCTCAAGCACTCTGAAATTTCGCAAACACAGAATCGCTTTACAAATTCACAAAGTCGAGGAAGCCAGATTTTTTTTTCTTTTTTTGCTCCACATTGTTCCTTTAAACTTTCACATCAAATCAAAAACAGTATCATGTCATGGAGAATTAAATAGCATTACTGACCTTTGTGGCTACAGTATGAAAGTCCTTCACTTCAGTCTCGATGGGATCCGCGGTATTTGCTTGATCTTTACAAACAATCAAGCTGAACTGTTCTCCATCTATTTCACACTGGTAAGTTTTCCTCAGACTGCGGCGCTGGTAAAACAGGTCAAACCCGTCTGGACGCTCGGAGACTGGTGGCAACACCAGCTGACCATCTTCAATCTTCATTCCCACCAGGTAACTTTCTAGAATTTTGTCTTCTTCTTCGGCTTCTGGTGTTTTTGCGACATAGCTTCTGCCTAGAATAAACAGTGCAGAATGGAGATTACGGTTTTGGCCCAATTAATTTAAGTTGTCCAACTCATGTAAATCGCAATTTCATGGGTGGGCAAGGTGAACCAAATACTGCGCTGTGATTGGCTACCCGAGCAGGCAAGATGGCGTTATCGGGATTACGCGCTTTGTACCACAAAAACAACTAGTTTTTCTACTAGCTTCTTCTCCATCTCGGTCCATAAATACGCAAAAATGAACTTGGCCAATATCCAGCCATCTTGACCTCACGCTTGGTCAGTTATCCATATATGTTTTTAAGCGTGTAACAACAAGCGAATCTATTTGCATTATAGGTTTTTTTTGGTTTATGACATAGTGAAAAGTAAAAGTAACAAATTTTAGAGTTCTTTCTTACATGTTCTTATTAACAAACGGTAGTCAAATTTCTTGGAAGCCATCAAGATGTCTACTTTCATTTTGTGCTGATACTGAGAGCACATGTAAAAACATGGCGTGTTTGATGAATCACCCTGCCCATCAGGCAACGCGCGAGTCAAGATGTTCTTGACACGAATTGGTGCATTGCGAGAGAACGCCATGGAGGTTGTCTCGTCGTCTTCTTGTGCAGCATCCTTCTCAGTAAGCCATGCCTAGAAAGGTAAAAAAGTCTTAGTTGCACACTGCAAAGTAGAAACAAAACGTTCGCGACACATTCATTTATTATAATAATGGAGAAAGAACTATTTTAATTTCTGTTATTTCCTGGTGTGTACTGCTCTCTAAAGAGACATTTTACATTTTATAGTTTGACGTAAACTTTAAAGGAGCACAGTCATAGTGTTTTGAGTTATTTTGGCCACGTAAAAGATAACTTTTAAATTAAGGAAAACCTGAAAATAGTAGTCTACTAAGATAGAAAAACACCGAAGAGACAATAATAAAACATAAAGGAACAAGGGTGGTTACGGATGGAGAAGTTTGCTAGAAAAATCTGATCCTCTACAGTGACATTTTATCAAACACAGCACAGCTATTTAAAAAATCAACCAGACTGTTCCATGGTCTTAAAAAGACCATAGAGGTGATGACAACAAAACTCAAGTGGAATCACAAGTTGCAGGATAATTAATCAGTCCTTTTCTTATTTAAGGAACCCTTTAATACGACCACCCCGTTAATATGGCCAGATTTTTGTGGCCCATTAGATTAACGGGGTTCCACTGTATTACCAAAATCACGGCTATTTCTCAAGTTCTCGAAAGCTACCTCATCATTTTCATCGTCTATTGTTTTATCCATGCGTGATCATAGTTCTCGACCGATGAGTGCGAAAGAAATCTCTTAGTTATTGTGAGAATAATTATCTCTTACTCATTTAACAAATAATTTCTGGAATTCAAAGTAAAACAACCAAAATTGTACCTTAACACGAACATCTCTGCAAGAGGGAGTGAGGAAGGTAAAGTCATATCTGATGTCTTCCTTAACTGCATGGGATTCCAGATGCTTCTCAATTCGCTCAATTTCTGTATCGTCTAAGCCACCTTCGAAGATTGAGGTCTTCCAGCTTCCTTCTTCCTCGAGTTTTTCTTTGATTTCGGCAAGAGTGAAATAGTCCTCTTCTTCATCGGCTGAATCAATAGAAAAAAATATTACTCCCTAGGTGAACATTTCAATATAGCTATAAGCCAACGAAAAATCCAGTGCTTGTTTCGTTAAAGATACTTTTCGGATACTTCTCAATCACGTTTGTATACCAAATGCATGGTGCAGGAAAACTTGACTGAAGACACATTACAACGTGTCCTTGTTATCTTGTACTTAATCCACAAGTGCAGTTAGGTGCAGTCAGTTATTCTTAGAGATATATGTTTTTCTCACAATGGCTTTTATGTCCATGTTTTGCGGATACATTTTGAGCTATTTTGCATGGGTCAACTCAACTTTAATTTACCATACTAAACGATCGTTTCATTAACCGCGGAAAAAATTAAACAATATTACAACATTTGTGCAATTCGGCCACCATTCTTTTCATGTAAGAGTTTCATAATCCTACTGAAATGCCATTCGGTTGTGAGGAGATACTTCGTCAACATACAAAAGCCGCATTAAAGTATAGTATACATTATGTCGTAACTAAGCTCAATAAGCCGCCAATGTATTCCTAGCTTCTACTAGCGGTTACTTGTGTGCTAATTTCTTTATTGTATCACTTTGAAATTCCAATTCAAAGAATAAACCCTGCTGAGTGAAACTTTCGCATCTTTCTCTCACCTTCGCCTACTTCCTTTATGTAGGCATGGCCGAGGTGACACCATATAACTACTTTTAGCGTCTCCTCTTCCTTTTCTTTGTGAATGTTCTTTAACACCATGAGGAGTTCA